TTCCCCCCCCCCCCCCTTGAAGAAAAATTCAAGGAATTCAACTCTATATGATGTTAGCAAGACACGTCAGTTTGAATAGAACATTTCTTTTTGGCTAAAATGCTCCCAGGGAGGCTTTTTCATTCAGTTTTGTTGAGTAAGGCTTTTTTTTTTCCTATAAGCTATAAATTAGAGTTCACAGTGATAAAATTACTGTTTATTAAATACCAGTATCGTAAAAGTAATTTCGAGCTGTACTTTTGATCCTAATGGTTCTGTCTGCTAAAGTAAATGTAATGCAGAACTACATCTAATTATCGACACATCTGTGAAGTAATATTTGAACCAATAAACTAATTTTTGTCCACTATATTATGAAACCAAATTATCATCGCATTATTTAGGACTAAGCTAACAGCAAGAATGAATTCCCTTTCCTGGAAAAATAAATAGTTCTAATAATTTAAAAAGCAGATGGGGAAAAAAGAGTATCACAACTGAAAGTAATGGAGACAATTTTAGCTGCAAGCAGGTAATGCAGATGTATGCACTAAGGTTCAGTTCTCCCAATGGAAACCATCTGGTGAATCTCATCCATTTAAATGACTTATATAATTGAGTACAAGTCTTGTTAATGGGCCCAATGCCCATGCCTGACTGTTCTTCTATCTTGAGATCAATTGGTCTATATTATTAAAAGAAATATCAGTACTTTAACTAATGAAAATGAGGTGTTTTCATATCCAGATCATGCCATTGTTCTGTTCCAGATCTGATCATACCATATAGCAACCTTTTTTTCCCCTCACTTTTAACTTACAACCTTTTCTTTTGTTTCTGGACCATCCTAAGCAAATATCATGGACTGTTCTGACTTTTCTGCTGGTTTGATATCAACCATGCATGAATGAAATTAGGATACAAATTCAGCATGCCAGAGCTGAAAGAAGACTATGTCACTTTGTCCCTTGGACTCCCAGCTGTGAAAGAGGACTCTGCATACTTTGTAGAAACACATATATCCATACTGACTGTGAATATTTGCTGTCCAAATGACATAGGATAAATAACGAGGTATGGTCCAATTCTGTGTAGAAAACATTTTGTCTCCAGACCTCAGCTGATGAAGTCAGCAGAGCTTCATTGCATTTACTGGATTCAGTGCTTTCAGAGAGGCAGTGCCAGCATACAGCAGGAAAAGACAGAAACATTAGGTAGAGCTCCTCAAAAATCTTCCTTTGAAACAAAGCATACAGGAAATGCAGATTCGTGGGATATAGGATGTCAAATGTAAATTTCTCATTTGAGAAAACTGGCAGTTGCGAAGTAGAGGGAATTGATCAGAGCAGGGAAGAGGTCCCATTGCTTTCAGGATCTACTTTGGACAAAGTTTACCAGGGCTTCCAGTCACCACAGCCCTGAAGCAGGAAAATGGTTTCCATGGTTCTGGATCATGCCATGTACCATGCAGCATAGGCATCCATGGATGTAGCAGGACAGGTGGTCATGCCAGAGTTTTTAACATACTTGCCATGGACGACAGTACCTGAGAGCTCTGCATCATTGACTCTGACCTCTTCAGGGGTAGTAGAGAGTTATTAACTTCCAACCTTCCTTTTGGTGGCTCTTGAAGGTCACTGAATCTGATGGAAGTAACGGCTGCTTGGCAGTTGCTTGCTTCTTGCTTTAGAGTTGGGACTTGGGCTGGATGTCCTGGGAGAGTCTCACAAACTGTAGGTCATACTGTACAGTAAAGGAGGCTTAGAGCCATAGGTGAAGACTACTTTGCATGAGTTCAATTAAATTATTGTTTTTGTGATTTCAGTGTGGCTTCAGGCTTCCATGGAGTGTATTTCCATTCACAAAGGGAAGGTTTCTAATCCTGGAGAATACTTCAAATCTCCTGTGATTTGAGGCTGAGTGACATTTTTAAAGAAAGGGAGAATGCCTAAAACCAGGCAGCCCACTTTGCAGCTATCGCCACCGATGACTGTCAAAATGTATGCTGTGCTGGGAAGAAGATTGAAAAGGCTTCAAATATAAAACTGGAAGAAGACATTATTTTTAGTTGTCTCTAAAGTCTACTGGTTTTGGTTGATTTGTGTTGCTGTTTTGTTTTAGTAATTCAGTTTGCTTGTATACGAACTATGTGCATAAGCTCCTTGTCATTGATTTAGAGTGCTAGCTCAGGGCACTAGAAAAAAAACAGCAAACAAACAAACCCCAAAACAAATAAATGCATAGACATTAGTCCACTTATTGTCCACATCAGGTGCAGTAACTTGTGGGTGTAGTGACAGAACAGCTCTGTGCTGTGTCAGGTACAGCCTGAGTCAGGAGAGGCTGCAGTGCTGTGGAAATCACTTGTTTTTGTTGGGAGGCAGCACAACAGATTGCCTGGCATTCAGACCCTGAGTTTGAGCATTGTTCTTATGGCTCCCAAGACTGGGAATGCTGCTGAAGCAGTGTCCCTCTCTCAGGCAAAGGGAGCAAGAGAAGGGTGAGGGAAAATGCCACATTATTTTAGTTCAGGAGCGTATTAGCCCATGGAAACCAGTAGAACCAGCATGGACACTGATATTGTACATTTTTTTATAAGTCAGAGGGCTGAAATCTGGAATGTAAGCTAGCAGGCTTGGTTATAAACACTCTTCTTATACTAGCGAAAGGGTTTTTCATGCTTTTCTAGTCTTATTTGAACATGTTTCTGCTCCGGCAGGGGGATTAGACTAGATGATCTTTTGAGGTCCCTTTCAATCCCTAACGTTCTGTGATTCTGTGATAGAGCAGGAGAATTTTAATAGCAAAAATGTTCTAGGCCACAAAATCCACAGATGTGGGTATGTTTGTGTTTTATTTGAGAATTGCTTTGCAAAGCAGCCACTCTTCATGCTCAGTAACTCTACTTCCTAATGCATGCATTTGCATTGTCCTGCATCAGTGGATGCAGAACAAATTATGGATTTGAAAAGCCAGAACTGGCACAGCCATCTCCATGTTGATGCTGCTGCTCTGAATGTGCCTCTCCAGCACCAAGCTTTTAGTCACTTCTCTCTGAGTTATTCCTGATACACTACCACGAGGCTTGCTGTGTTCATTAGGGCTCCACCAGCTGCTGCTGCTGAGCTGCCTGTTGGCTTCACTGCTCCAGTTATGGCTTTCTGTCCAGCTCTACCCATGTGTTAAAACCAATGAGCCAAATAACTCCAGGCATAAGGGAAAGAAGAGCCCTTGCAGCATGGAAACATCACAGTCAGTGTCCTCATGTTGCAGAGGTGACAAAGAAAAGCAGTAGGGAGAGGAAAGTGCTGCATTGTGTACCACTGCTGAAGGTTGGTGTGATGACTGAGGCATGTCTGACTAAACTGAATCTCTGGAAACAGTTTCAGAAGATTCAGAACTGGTGATGAGATGAAACCTGAGCAAGCCTTTAGAAATGACTCATTTGTGGATCAGCAGCTGACTACAAGGAAAATTTCACACTTCTTTGTCTCTTCTTTTGACTGCTATTGCATCACATTTTATCTCAGATAATGCACTGTAAATAGTATTCCTTGCTGAACTTTTCCAGCCTATCCCAGCAAGCTATAGTTACTGGAGACAAACATAGGATGCTCCTTTTTTGTGTAAAACCGATTTTCATACGCAAAGCAGTTTTGGGTTGAAAACTCTCTTTTGAAAACCTTGATACACTGCTTCATATATTAGGACAAACTCTAGGATAAAGGAAGAACTGAATCTTGATTTTCCATAACGTACTTCTTCTGCCTATGGTATCAGAGCCTAAATTAAAGTTCTCTGTTTGTGAAAAAAACTGTCAGAAAAGAATAGGTGTTCTGTAAAAATGTTTTCCCTTGAAAATTGATCACCACTGTTACAGATCAATTCTGTTTCTCCTGTTTGCGTTGGCAGATTCAGGCTTCATTTGTAGCTCTCTGTGCACTTTCAGTTTTGCTACATAAATTGTTTATTTTAAATAAGGCTCAGATACAGCCTAATTTACAACTAAATCAGCATGAGAGAGCTCTAAGGCAATCCTGTTCTCACTTGTTGTTCACTCTTGTGATAGAGGCTACTGGCATAAGCAGCTGGTGAGCATGTGTTTTGGACATCGCTCCTTCTGGGCCAATCCACAGAGGTTATGATTTGTTACAGTCCCCTGCTAAAAATATTGCTTCTCAGTTCAAGCTGTGGCAATTTACGTTTTCAGTTTGGTGGGACCAAAAGTTCAGCCCCAGGGTATCAATCAGGAGGGTAGCTATCACACAAGCTCATTCAAGCTTCAACCCCCTGTGGCTGTCAGACATGTGGGAAGAGCTTCCTTTGAACAAAAATAAT